TCCCAGCCCTTTCCTGGGAATCCCCCCCTCATTCCCAGCCCCTTCCTGGCCATTCCCATCCCACTTTATCCCAGGAATTCCTGCATTCCCAGCCCATTCCCAAAAATTCCTCCATTCCCAACCCTTTCCCAAAAATTCCTCCATTCCCAGCCCCTTTCCCAAACCATTCCCATCCATTTTTGGCAGTTTTATCTCTTTCCTTGGGGAGCATTGTGAGTAAATCCGGGAATTCCAGGAATTTCTGCATTCCCAACCCTTTTCCCAGGAATTCTGCATTCAGGGTCAATGATTCCTGGGAATTCCTGGAAATTTTGGGAATTCTCAGTTCCCTTCCTGGGAATTCTCCCATTCCCAGCCCTACCATGGAATTTTTCCAGCATTCCCAGTTGAGTTTTGACCCCTAAACCCAACGATTTTATGGAATTCCTGTTTAATTTCATGGAACTTCTATTAAATTAATGGAATTTCAGTTTAATTCCATGGAATTTCAGTTTAATTCCATGGAATTTCAGTTTAATTCTACGGAATTCTTGTTTAATTCCATGGAATTCCTGTTTAATTTGGATTTAATTTCGTGGAATTTCTATTTAATTTCAGTTTAACTCTATAGAATTCCTGTTTAATTCTTATTTAATTTCACACAATTCCTGTTTAATTCCGTGGGATTCCTGTTTAATTTCAATTTAATTTCACGGAATTCCTGTTTGATTTCAATTTAATTTCACAGAATTCTTGTTTAATTCCACTGAATTTCTCTTTAATTCCATGGAATCCTTATTTAATTTCAATTTAATTTCACAGAATTTCTATTTAATTTCACTTTAATTCCCTGGAACCCCTATTTAATTTCAATTTAATTTCCCAGAATTTCTATTTAATTTCAGTTTAATTCCCTGGAATCCCTGTTTAATTTCAATTTAATTTCCCAGAATTTCCCTTTCATTTCTCTTCAATCCCACACAATTTGAACCCCATTCCATTCAATTCCCAACATTCCCAGGAATTTTTTTTTTTTGTTTTTTTTTTTCTCTCTTTCCCTGCAGACCTGGGCAGCCGTGGGGCCGTGGTGAGGGTGAGCAAAGCCCTGGGCAGGAACCGGCTCCTCCCCCAGGGGCTGGCCGTGTACCCCAGCCCTGAGAACCTGCAGAGGATCCAGCAGGAGCAGGTCAGCAAAAAATGGGATTTTTTGGGGAATTTTTGGGATTTTTTTGGGTTTTTTGGGGATTTTTTTGCGATTTTTGGGGTTTTTTTGGGGATTTTTTTTGGATTTTTTAGGGGGTTTTTGGGCCGTGTACCCCAGCCCTGAGAACCTGCAGAGGATCCAGCAGGAGCAGGTCAGCAAAAAATGGGATTTTATTGGGAATTTTGGGGGTTTTTTGGGGTTTATTTGGAATTTTTCGGGATTTTTTTTGGATTTTTTGGGGTTTTCGGGGATTTTTTAGGGATTTTTTTAGGGGGTTTTTGGGCCGTGTACCCCAGCCCTGAGAACCTGCAGAGGATCCAGCAGGAGCAGGTCAGCAAAAAAATGGGATTTTATTGGGAATTTTGGGGGTTTTTTGGGGTTTATTTGGAATTTTTTGCGATTTTTTTTGGATTTTTTGGGGTTTTTCGGGGATTTTTTAGGGATTTTTTAGGGGGTTTTTGGGCCGTGTACCCCAGCCCTGAGAACCTGCAGAGGATCCAGCAGGAGCAAGTCAACAAAAAATGGGATTTTATTGGGAATTTTTTTGGATTTTTTGGGGGTTTTTTGGGATTTTTTTGGAATTTTTTTGGATTTTTGGGGGGTTTTTAAGGGATTTTTTAGGGGATTTTTGGGCCGTGTATCCCAGCCCTGAGAACCTGCAGAGGATCCAGCAGGAACAGGTCAGCAAAAAATGGGATTTTATTGGGAATTTTTGGGAATTTTTTGGGGTTTTTTTGGGGTTTTTTTGGGATTTTTTTGGGAATTTTTTGGAATTTTTTTGGATTTTTTTTGGGTTTTTAAGGGATTTTTTAGGGGATTTTTGGGCCGTGTACCCCAGCCCTGAGAACCTGCAGAGGATCCAGCAGGAACAGGTCAGCAAAAAATGGGATTTTATTGGGAATTTTGGGGTTTTTTGGGGGGTTTTTTGGGATTTTTTGGGTTTTTTTTGGGAATTTTTTTGGAA